CAGTTATTTTATTTAAAATTGCCTGTCCTATTGAATTCATTTGGGTAAAATCGTATCTTTTCTGGTTGTCTTTTGTTTATATATATATTTTTAATGAAATCTAAAATTGTAATGTATCTATTGATCCCAGGAACTGTAAGGAGAATGTCAGTGTTACAAGATTCACTGCAAAATGAAAGAAAGTCTTTGACCTGCACTCTTTATAGATGAAAAGCTACATAGCAATCTAAGCACTTTAGAATTTACTGAACTTTGACTTTAAAATATGTCTTTAAAAAGTTCAGCAGAATTTCAGGGCTGTCATTTTAAGGCTACATTGAAGTTACACCATCTATATATGACTTTTTACACATAAAAATAAGTATTTTACATATAAAATATATGAGAGCTTAAGCCCTGGGCCAACATTTTTTTTAAATGGGCTCTGAAGCTCTATTCTGAAGTACAACTCTGTGTCTCTACATCTATGGCCTTATATTCAACAGTTGGTTGAAAAGCTAGTTGTCCCCATTTAAAATAACCACTTTGCAACCTAGCCACACACGTTTTATATTCTCAGCCCAATAATCTCTAATTATTCTGGCTCATAATTCCATTGAAACAGGGTTCAGAGTCATTTTATAGACATCATTCATTATTTTAATATTGTCTAATTTAAAAAGGAAAAATATTTCAGATAATAACAACATTTTTTTTGAGAAAAAAAGGCATGAAAACCATTTCTGTTCCAAAAATTACTGATATGAAAACTTATGGGAAACAGCTCCTTTTATGAATAATTATTATTATTGTGTTTAAGAAATGGGCAAGATGCCTAGAAATTGAATGAAAGAATGAGCTATTAAATTGAAATATTAAATGAAATAACTGAATTAAAAGCGATCACATAAACCCTGCAGTAAATGTTGGGAGTTGTAGCTGATTGAACATATTTTCATCATCTGTTTTGTATGCTTAAATACAATTGCTTGATGTAAGTAAACACTTGATTGATATTCTGAATACTTAAAAATCTGCATATGCATCACAGAATACTGAACAATTAAAACTTAATTTCAGTGTAGTTTGATTACATGTAAATTATTTCAATATTCATTTTTTCCTGCTCTGTTTGCTCAGTGCATACTAAATATTCACTTTTTGAATGCACATCACCCTTGATTGGACTATGAGATGAGGAAGGCTCTAAAATTTCTTCCATTAAAAAGGATTGCCTTGTAAATAATATTTGTGCCACAGCTCTCCCCCTGCAGATTATTTTCTAAATGTTGTGTACCGTTATTGAAGACAAGGAAAAAAACCTGCTGCAGCCCTCCTTTATCAGCCCAGCACAAGGAATATGCTTACATGGTCGATGGGCATGTCTAAGAAGGCTTGTTGGTTGTAACTAGTCCCTAAAGAAATGTTTCCATCTTTTCGGCGCTATATTTCTCTCCTGCTTGCATGAGCTCTCTCTCTCTCTCTCTCTCTCTTCCCTTCCTCCTCCCTCCGCATGATTCTTTTTCATTTTGATTCCTGGATTTCATTTTAGATGTTTTAACATCATGTATAAATGTTACAAATATTTTTTAAAGTGACAGTTTTCAGCCAGAAAAGCGTATCTCTATCTTTAACTGACCACATGCTATTTAGGTGATGCGGAGTACAGAAGACAAAATTCTGCCTTTCAGCGTTTTTGCTGAACTCCCCATAAAAATTAAAAAGACTTCTTTCCCCTCCTCCCAGGCCCCAGTCCAACGTGCCTCCCAGACACATGGTTTTAACTTGCAATATTTAAAGTCAACTTATTTTTGAACATCAAACTGTAGATTTAAAGGATCATATAAAACCCTGGACGTTTGGTTGTCTTTTAACTTACGTTGGTGCAAGCCAAGAGTAGCCTCTCTGAACTTAGTAGATAAAACTGATAAGTAATTGAATAAAAATTCATGGCTTTCATGGTATCTGTTGGGGTAAGTCACATTCTGAAAATACAGGTATGTAGCAGGTCTACAGCTTTGCCATGGAGAGCAGGTCTGGATTCTCCTCTGTCTCTACCACTTTTGACCTGCATGACCCTTGTCATATCCCTTAAATTTTTGCCCTGTCTCCTCGTCCTTAAAAGAGATGTACTAACAGCCATCTTCGTTAGAGTTTTGTAGGACAGGTAGAAAGGTTGCGTAAGAGCATACAGTAACTATTGTTTTATTAGACGGGAGTTTAAACTTAACATTTTATGTCCTAAACAGTTTGCAGAGAAATGTTCTCCTATCTGTCCTGGATAGTTAATCGCAGCTTGAGAGCTTTAATCTTGAAGGTCATATTTCTGTTGGCTATCACTTTGACCAAACAAGTAGCTGAACTTCATGGTTTACCGACAGATTTCCTTATCTCTCTTTTTCAAGAGACATATAAGTTTTGATTGCTAGCGTTATTGTGAAGCAAGCAATAAGTAACAAGCAGAGGGAGAAGAGCGGGAAGGACATTTGCTTGAAGACATGTACCCTGTAGATGCCATTTTAGAAAGCAAATATTGTACTTTGGAATTGTAGCATAGGGAGAAAAGGGAAAATATTTTGTTTGGGGTTTTTTGGTGTGAGGAGCTGATAAACGCTAAGTGTGCTAGCAGTAACGAGAGGTCTTCCATAACAAAACGTGCTTGTAAAACAGGCATCATCAGCTTGAGGTCTCTCTCCTACTGTATAGGACTCTCCTGTGGAATAAAAACAAAAATTCCATGCCAAGGAGACTCAAAATAGAAAGTGTTTTCTAATAAAGCTACTTTAAAAAAGTGGACACTCTTGACTGATTTAATATTGTTTGCCTAAGTAATGCAAACTTGTCACTGTTGTTTGAAACCTTCACCTCATTTTAAAGCAATTCTATTTATAATAATATGTGAAGTGTCTGTGATTGTTATTTCCAGCTCTCTTGGTTTGTGAAGAGCATTTCTTGGGTAACTTTTTTTTTTTTCCTTCTTTCCCCTCAGTGCAACTCTGAAAATAACGAGCTAACTCCACAGTTTTATGAACAGAGGCCATAATGAGACTGAAGTTATTAATTAAAGAAAAAAAATTGAAATCTTTGTGAGATGGAGGAGAACTGACAGCTTTAAGGCCATGATTCTGTTCTGCAGGTCAATCAAAGGAAAAAGTTATTTTACATTTTTTGGTTGCAGGCATGCAACCAAAAATTTTTTGGTTGCCTTGGCGAGGGCAAATTTTATTCAAATAGTCTGTATAGTTATAACTTTGGAAAAACAAAATCAGGATGCAGACATCCTTTTTTGGTAGTCATATGGCCTGTTTCTGCTCGATTTCCCTTTTTTGTTTCAGCTTCCCCTCTGAGAACTAAGAATGTACATTTAATCTGTAATTGAAAAGAAAAATGTGCAGGAAGAAGATATACATGATAGCTGTACAAGATACCTGTATTGTAACACGCACTTATTTGTCTTAATTAAAGCATAGCTTGAGAAGCAGGATTACAACACAATGTATTTTAATGTAAACTCCTTTATAAAAAGCATGTCAAAAGGCTTCAGATATATAGATGTGCATGATAAAAAGATGGGGCACTGCCTGATCCCCAGTGATCCAGCGGTTAACCTTAAGTCATCTCTTCCCCGCCTTAAACGGGTTCTGTGAGGAGGGCTATAAATTAGTGCTGGGAAGACAGAGCAGGAAGATTAGCTTCAGGGAGGAAAGGCCTCTCCTCTCCAGCTCCTAGGACCTCACCTAGAGACTGCGTTTCCTTTTCTACAAGTTAAGCTAACGTATTATGCTTTTTTTGTCACAAATGTTATTCCTTGAGGAAAAGTAGCTCTATCTCGCAATCGGCTGAATCATCCCAAGTGCGCGGTAGAGCAGAGCAGAGCAATAAGGCTGGAGCAAGAGGGAGGCAGGAAAACCACTTAGGCTTTGGCCAAAACCAGGAGTTGCAGAATGGTACAGCTTGTGAGACTCCTTCATCCAGCAAGGGGAGGGAGGGCTCCCCTGTTTCCTAAGGTATCCTGCGGGTACACAACTGTGTAAATACTGGCACCCACGTCAGGTTGTCTTACAATGTTTGCTGAGCAAGCACAAAGTACACCTTTCTAACACTGGCAAATCGCAAGGCCTTTTTCTGCCATTGATGGCAAGGAAGCCATCTCCTCCCCAGACTTCAAGCATCTACAACTGATCTACTGCAGACAGTATTAACTAGGGAAAAGGGGGAAACTTTACCCGTTCACCAGGGAAAATATAAAACTTATTCTGCCTACAACAACTGAAATAAAATTGGGGTGTTTTGTTGTTTAGGAGATCCAAAAACAATCTCACCAAATCCCTTTTTTAGGGGTTTTTAAACAGGTTTGACACAATGCAGCAGAAAACACATCTATACAAATAGAATCACTTCCTCACAGTATCAATTGGATCGTCGCACAGAGAATACCCACTAGCACAGTGAATACCCACATCTAGCACGGGAGGCATCACCCAGCGCAGAATTTGCCAGCATGATCTGCAGCGTTGTGTACGTTCTCAGAAAGCCTCTGATGGATGGCTTGTTTCCTCCTGCTTCTATAGATATCCCCAAGACTGCACACAAGAGGATACATACAGCCTTCCATAGCATCTCCCGCCCATGTAGATATTTGCTGTAATTGCCAGGAGATGGTGTATTGTCTCTGGGCAAGGACAAGCTAGCAGTCTGGGTCGTTAGAAATCAAAAGAGCTGCTGCTGTCTCAGGCAAAGTACCCTCAGCTCCCCTCATATTTAATAAGGTCTGATGGTACTCAACACTGAACACAATGCCTGCTGAAGTTTTTTAAAGGTAAACAGGGTTAAGGACAGTCACTGTCCTATCTTATAGTTCTGCAATTCTACCGCAAGGATATGAAGAGTTTCCCCAGTAAACCTTTGCCATCACTTTTGAGCAGAATTGAAATACTTCATCTGCCCATTAGCAAAAATTGACGCCACTCTTATATCTTATCATTGTCCTCAGCAAGTGATACGCTTCCTTTTTCTTGCAGGTATCAGAGATTTGAAAAAGCATTTCTGCTAGCTGTTGACATAGGTGCTCGGGACCTGTTTATGGTGAGTCATTTCTTGGAGGCTGTTGTCAGGATGAGTTAGTTGTCAGCTTTTGTGCGTGTGAAAAAAGGATCAGTGTCATTTGCGGTCTTAGACACATACTGAAGGCAGCATCATTCTACCTACCTTGCCCCTTGCCACCATGAAACTGGTCAATAGCAATCGAGTATCTTTTGAGGCATTGACATTCTCCTCACCACGGCCTAAAGGCTGGCCTGTGTTTTCCAGGAATTAATGTATATGTTTTTGAACTTTCCCCTTCTTCACCTGTCCTGATGCGGGTGAATGTCATCTTTCACTCTAATAAGCTTATACGTTTCTAATCCATTCCTTTAAGAAGTACAACTGCTGAGTCCAGGACACAAGAGCCAGCCATATCCTGGGGATCCTGAATGCTCTTAGTTTGTCTCTCAGGGTTTTGTGAAAAGTGACAAATTATGAACGCTTCTACAGGTACTTTTAAAACAACAAAGCTCTGCAGCACCAACCCAAGGGTTTTTACATTTCATGCACTCTCTGCCCCCTCCCATTTAATTAGCTACAAAAGTAAAATTAACCAGCTCTTAAAAGATCCTCTGTGCAAGCTCTGCAGGAGGCTCTTGTTTTATAAGATCTTGCACCACAATGTCACAGCGAGGTCAGATGGACAAAGCCAGTGGTGCTTTGCTAGTCTTTCAGCATGTTGCTGCTCCACAGCTGATTTCATTGTTTTCAAAGAGACAATAGGAAAGGGGCTTGTTTTAAAAAAGGCCCTTTGAACGACTGGTTTGCTTGAGTCTTTTGCATAATGAAGACATTCTGTTGTTTAAATTAAGCTTTGACACTAGATGTTAATATCATTTATCCCATTAAGTCACTTGCCCTGCTAGTTTGATCTTGATATTTAAATTGTATGTTAAATTACACAGTTAAATCCTGCTTTTATGGGTTATGAAAATTCCCTTCTAATTATATAAAAAGTTGTGTGAACCTTTTGATGTTTTTTTCACGGCTCTAATCATCTGGCTTGTTCCATCTAATTAGAAAGATGTGAATACTGCGATAGACTTTTCTAAGTATGCATCAAAAGAACGTGATGAAAATGTCAGACTTTTAGGAAATTCATTACATGTTTTATGTTTACTCCCCTCATTTTTTTCTTCTTTTTATCTCAGCTTTTTCCTTCTCTCTTTTTATTTTATTTTGTTATTAAATGCAACTTTTTCAAGACTAATGTTATACCTGTCAAGCTGAGCGCTGCAGCCACTTACAAGATTCAGACTGTAAGATGTGTGCGGTAGGATACAGCTTTTTATCGGGGCTCTCACACCATACAGAGAATAAATCCTTCCTAAATAATGGCACACATTCTACGAGAACAAACGTCCCGGCATTTGGCCTGCCATCTCGAGGGCTGAGAGCATTTTCTACAGGGCTGGGGTTTGCTCAGGAGATGGGTGCAAACCTGCTCCTGCGAGGGAAGGACTTGGAACGTTGTTCCACACATGGAAAAGTGTCCTCCTCCGAGTCAAAAGGTTCTTCAGCTTCCCTGTAGAGGAGATTAAAGGCTCATACAGAAGTCAGCTCCGTCCTTTCCTGCTCTCTTCGTACTGCCTTTCCTCTCTCAGGACCTCCTCTTCCTATCCCCAGTGCTGCCTTTGGGTGCAATTCCAGGATCACCACTGTTTTTAAACAAACATAAATATACGCTCCTCCTGGCTCACGTTTTTGTGCCATCAAAACAAATTCGATGTTGTCCTTGTTCTCCCAGAGCTTCTGGATGCCCGCCTCAAAGGCACCTATTCCATGTGAGCTCTGTGGGGGTTAGACATTTACGTGTTGTCTTTGAGAGTCAGGGCCTCATAGTTTCCCCTAAATTCTGTCACAAGCAGCCCCCTGCCCTGCCTCTTTAAGTCCTCCATCAACTCACTCCCTCCTCGGGGGACAGCTCCTTTTGCTAATTCATCACCTATGCAAAGTATGAATGAACAACCTTTACAGTAAGGTAACAATGGCATTGCTGCAAGACAACAAGGTACAGCAGTCAGGAAGTTGGAAGATAAATAGCTCATAAAATATATTCTTTTGTGCCACAATAGTTTCCAAGGAATGGGGCTTTGTTGCTCTAAATACTGCGTGAAAATGAGAAAGAGAATACTGCTCTTCCCTGAAAGCTTACAGTCCTCCTAGGTACTAGTATAACAGTACTATTGCTAAGCATAAGGTTTGTGCATCCTGTGCTTCTGCCTGACATTGAATAATTTGTATATATTGTTTATATAGGTCAAAATGCAATTAATAACTTACAACTTGACTTTACCCACAGTTAAAGCATTTATAATTATGTGCAATATGAATAACTAATATATAGGTCAGTTATTTGTACTGCTGCTTTACAGACCAAGCAAATGAGTTTATAAAACCCCAGCTGTCCCTAGGCGTGACACCTTATTCCCAGTTAATTTAATGGAATTTCAAGAAGAAATGGTACACTAAAGGTACAAAAATCTGATGACATAAGCAGAACGAGAAACAAAAAAGATATTTATTAAAGGGAGCAGAGAAGGAAAAAAATAGGATAGAGAGCAGCAGAGATAACAGAGGTTGAGAGGACCTTTGGGCTGAATACCTGCCTTTCATTGAATACCTGTCTCCTGACACTTCTAAGGAAACATCTTATATCTTGGAGAATTTATCTTGAGCGTTTTTTCACCAAACAGAGCACTGCAGCCTTCCTGACAATTATTTTGAGACTGTAAAAAAAGTTTGATCGAATGCTATCTAAAGACTAATTTCTTTCATAAAAATGAAAAGAAAAAAAAAAGGCTTAAAAGTTACTCCTTAACTATAACTTTAGCGTCACTAGTATGATGCCATAACAAGACACACAGCCACTGCTGTGTCTCCCCATAAGCTTTACCACCACGTCACATCTAAGTCCATCAATTATTATCATCTCCTACAAAGTTCAATAAAAAAAATAAAATTGAAAAAGACATACTATCATGAACAACAGCTACACTTATTGGACAGTGACTGATCCAATCTGTGACAGAAAAGATCAAGCGATAGAAGGGTTGTTAGCTTTAAAACCTTTTGTAGTATGCTCCAGCTCTCAGCTGCTGAAAATTCAAAAGGCCATCCCATGTACCAAAGGTAGGAAGGAAAAGACACTTTAATAAAAGTGTCAGATCTTGGGTGATACACTGATGAGGAAAGTGCATGTTTCGAAGAAATGTTGGAATTTTGCCCAGAAATATCCTATAGACAAATGCGCATCGATGTTTCAAATGACTTCTGCTCACTGAGGGCCAGCTCTATGACTCACAAAAATGAGGGTAAAAAAGGAACTCCAAAAAGTAATCAAACTGTTAGATGATAAAATACAGCCCTTCCAATGAACTGCTGATAAGCAGCTGGAAACTGTGTTTATCATCACCATTGTTTTTGAGAGGGACATGATCTTTGAACTGCTAAATTCTTAGATAATTGGGTGAAAAAATCTTTAACAAATATTCAGCTAACTTTTTTTTTTTTTAATTTCCCTGGCATTCTTTAAGGCAGCCTGTAAGCAAGTGCTTTTTTCTTTTATTTATTTTCTGGTTTTATCCTACTCAGAGATTTAGGAATTCTTTTAAAAATCCCATTTTTTGGCTAAGTTGAATGGAGACCACCTCATTAGCATATTTTACACATGCAGTCTTTTCTTTCTAAAACTTGCTTAGAAATGGAGACAAAAGTCAACAAAGGTTAATTTAAGGCAGCAACTTGTGGCACCACACAGGAAGCCACTTACCAGGCTAGTGCTACATCTTCAGTTTCCTACAAAGCTCCCGTTAGTAAGTGGTAGATGTTTACCGCCTTTATACTTCTTCGTACAAAACAAAGAGCATGGCCAAAAACAGATCTGAAAGTAGCAGGTCTTTGGATATGAACACCTTGGGCATCCTCATAGCTGGAAGAACTTTGCCATTTTCTGCAGTTGTTCCATCCCCTGCCCACGTTTGTTATTTAAAACTATATTAAAGTATACAATACCTCTCTTAGTTCAAACAACAGAAAGAGAGTCATTACACATTGTCAGAATAGACTTTCAATTGATGAATATAATCTACCCATACCTTAAAATACTTGTAAGCTCAGACTTGTTCTAGAGCCCTTAGGTTTTCTATTGTTATCTAAATAAGCTGACAAGATCTGCTTTTTAATCTTCGTAGAAATCATACCTTGCTACCTAGGCCCTTTTCTCCTGACAACTGTGTTAGACCTAAAAAAGGGAGGAAGTGCAGAGTTCACAAGTTCGTGAGCCCTTACGTTGCCCCAAGACACTTCAGCAATTTTTAAAGTCACACCTGTGTTTGTAATCAGAAAACGCTGCTGTCTCCTCCAGGCTGTGGAGACGGAGAAGGTCGGTACCGCCTTCTCCTGTGCAATTGGTCTCATTTCCTAACCTTCTGTGCTTGCCTCTTGGTTTTGTTTTCCGTTTCTTTTTTTTTCTTACATTAAATGAGAGGAGAATACAGGCAGTATCTTTTTTCTCCCGTTCAATGTTACTGCTCTCACTTTTTTCATATGTCTTCTCTTTCTAGAGTTGGGTCACCTGTCTCTGTCATATTGCTGAAGGAGTCAGTAAATTCTCCTAGAGGAGGACAGTTTCACTGTAATCTTCTGAATTAGTGAGAATACAGTTGCTTTTATGGTATACAGCGGTCAATATTTCCAACAAATACTTCTTTTCCCTTGAAATTCCTGCATGCAGATAGAGTGCAGAGCAATGGCCAGCAATGACTTACATTTCTGGATACCAGTTGCATCTTCAGCACACACACAAAAAAAAACCAACTTTGCCAATGGGCAAGGGTTTTCGTTCTTACTTCATCTGTTTCAATTCACACACAGAGCAGCCTGTGGCTCTGACACCAGTGGAGAAGGGGTTTAACTGTCTCTTTACAAATAGTCAAGGATGAAACTTTACTTCACAGACCAAAATCAAGGGCAGGGAGACAGTCATTTGTCACTGGGAATATATTCTCCTGCAGACTCTGCTGTATGTAGTACAGGTGTTTGGCCTCTCAAAGATTAATGCACAGTTAAAAGCTTTGCAGTTCACCATGTAATGATAAACCCCTACTGCAGCTCTCTTATTTTTAACCCTAGGCTAAAGACAGGATCTAGATCACTGGAAAGGATTCGTGCTCTCCAAAACAAGACTTTTGGAAAGCCCATTGCATAACTGTTGTCAGGAAATCCTAGAGCGACTCAGAAATCATATCACTTGTGTGGATTTTAAAACCATTGAGCATTGTTGCTCTTATTACCTCCAATATCAGCACAAGGAAGACTATCACCAACTTACTCAAAGAACAGTAAATGTAGCATGACAACCTCCAAACCAAAATTAGTCCCAAAAGGTTTACCCCGAAACTCATGTGCACGCTTCTAATGCAAGGCTCTGACAGAGAAGAGTTCAAGCACTCCAGATCTGATGTAGCCAGAACCACCTCCTAGCAATTCTCTTCTAATTCTTGTTGCACCAGCCAACATAACTTAAAAGCAGACAGATTGGTTTCATTCACACACTGAGTCAATAGCTTCGCTTTTATCAATGCATGATTGGTCAGCGTTTTATTCATTGTTAACAAGAAACGCTGTATTCAACAGCACAAGTAAGATAATAAATTTGCATTGGGAGAGAATTAAAATGTAGCAGTAGGTTCATCAGTTCCATCTGTGTTTGTGATCTAAATAATAAAAGAGCCTCTTTCTTTCAAATTCTCTTTTGTTACTCCTAAGAGATTCATTTTAGATTAATCTTTTATTTTTCTTTTATTTCCAAAGGACATCCATTACGTTGCACTAGATAAGGGTGAATTGGCACTAGCTGAAGTGGCAAAGAAAAAGGCTAACGACATTGATGCAGAATCAATAACTACTAGAATTGGTAAGAATTAACAGTGTTTAAAAAAAAGCCCCTCTTGTTTTAATCAATACTTGTCCTGTATAATGCCATGTTATGTTTGTAGGGGGTTGTTGGTTCATTTGTATTGTTTTGGGGAAAACAAGATAGTATTTTTATTTGTAACTGAAGGGGGACGCTTATGAAAACACCATAGCTTTGCCTTTCAGTACTCAAGTGTGGATTTTGTCAGTGCAATAGCTACAAAGCAAAAGAGATTAGTATGCCATGGTTATACAGCAAAAAGGTGAGCCTATAAAAACAGAACTCAGCACAAGAGGTAAGGGCTTGAATCCTAAAATGTTTGTTCATGCCAGCATTAAAGGCCAGGTACGGCAGTCTCATTCACCACTGTGTATTTGCTCATACACACAGTCCCAATAACTGGAGTCGCATCATGGGAAGCGTTCAGATGAAACATGTTTACTGCTGTGAACAAAGGCTCACATTTGGGCTTTAAAGTAACTGCTTTGCACTCTGGAGGATTTTTGCAGTTCCATAACTGAGCAAAACAATGCAGGACCAACACAAGTTTTCAAGCAGGGGAACTCATAACTCGTCCACTTTATCTTTGTATTTCCTCTGAATTGTCAAGAAGAAAAGTGTGCAACTATGTAGATTGCTCTGATACTCTAGGCTATAGCATGCACCGCGCGCAGAAAGGGTCTGTGAAAGAGTCTACGTAGCTGACCTTCAGCAGAGCCAAAGTAGAGCAAAAAAGAACACCACAGTGTTTATGCAAAATATGCACAGTGCTATTTTCCTTGTTCTATTGCATCTCTGAATATAAGAGGAAATTGCTGAGCTTTTGTCCTTGCCCCGTGACAAGAAAGTAGAAAATGATTAAGACTCAGAAGAAGGAGTCAGAAAACCCTGGAGATTTTGGACACTATAGGATTCGTTTAGGACCAGAGGTGAAAATTAGTACTGTATATCTAGGTGTTTACCCCAAATATACAAGCAGATGCCATTCAAATATTTGCATAGAAATGCATTGAGATAGCATTTACCTCGCTAACTAAGTATTGTGTAAATTTGAAGCCGTGCCTGTCCTGAACTTACTTTGTCAGGTTTTCATTTCCCAGCTTGTGTCACTTGCAGCATTTTTGCACCGCAGCTGGGCCTTTGGGCAAGTCTTTTCACTACTAGAATCACCAAAAACAGAGTTTGTTTAAGTCGTCTGTTACAGAGCACTTTTAAGTGTGTACAATTACATCTCTCTTGCTGTCTGTTCTCCTCTTAGATATAAGTAGTTCTCCTCGGCAGTAGTTGTCCTCAACTAAGGGTTGTCTCCAATCATTCTCTATTCTGTCAGTCTATTAGTCATGTATAAATGCATTTTACCACACTTAGTCCAGAAAATTTAAGCCTTAATCTTTGTATCTTTACTTAATTGTTTGCAAATTAACACTATCACTGTATTTTTTAAGTTAGGTTATTTTTAAGTTTACTGAGACACATACACAAGGAGGGGGAATAGGGAAGAAACCTCAAGTGATCACAGGTGTCTTACTGGCTCTATCAGATACAACACATGGATTCCTACAGTTCAGTCGCCAACATGCAGGCACACCGTCTTCCCCTCCTTCGGAGCAGTCCTACGCTTACCTCTGGAATGCCCCATAAGCATAAATGATTAAAAGTCCTTTTGTATGATGAAGTCTTTAAAATGTTCTCATTTGCTGAATAATTAACTATCAGAATGATTTAAAATACTGAGTAAATTCAATACCCCGGGACAAACTGTCACTGAGATTCAGTCTATTAATGGTAATGAATGTGCATCCAGTTTATTTTATATTACAATAAACAGGACTCTCCCATGAGTTCATTTCACTGCAGATTGGATCTCACCTTAAACGCTTGAAATCTAAGCCAGAGGCTTTTGTTCTATTATACTTTACTCCAAGGTCTTTTTCATTATGCTGTTTTTATTCCAGCAACTGTTGTTAGCAGAAAAAGGTGTCAAGAAACATGGATTTTGTGGGCCCAGTAAAAGCAAAAGAATAATGAACAGAGCCTTATATGTCAAATGTTGTACTCTGGTCCTAAATAGTACAACAAGGGTGAACTACTCTGGTACATCTGCATGTGATGATATTTCTTCAGCTAGCCCATCCCCCAAAAAAACAGCTCACCACTACTTGAAGATAACACGAGTCAGTACTCCTGACCAATTCCCAAACTGTTGAGAGTGCTCCATCTTGACCCAGATATCTCTAAATTGTTAAGATATTTCTGTGCACAGGGCTCCCTTCAAACATAATATATTTCAAACTCAGACTTTTGGAAAAGTTTCAAGCTCTTGCAAATAACGTAGAATGACAATATAATTCCAACCTAAATTTATAGATGTCGTGCTAAGTTCTGTAATCAGAAGTGGATTCCTTACGTATATTAAATCAAGATTTGTGTCAAGATAAAACTAAAAGTAGATTTACCGTTTGAAACATTTCTGAATTTTAGCTCTTTTCAGTTCCTCACATGATCACAGCTTACTATACACTGCCTCCCAGAAGCCATTAAAGCTAAGACGACTGTCTGGATGCATGTGCTGAAAACACCAGTAGAGCTTCAGAGCATAGCAGCTTTGTGAGGGTACTGCTGAGCAGGGAGAAGTTTCGAGTGAGCTTGCTGCTATTCCCTGCCAATGGTTTTGGCACAACCGGCCATTTCATTCAACTGATTAAAGTCTTATAAAGAAAATAATTCTCACAGATTTTATGTCTGATAGCCTGTGAAAATGCATCTTGAGGCACTAGAAGATGGAAGTAATGATACTATACGTCTCTGAGACAGCAAATATGAAGTTCTCCTTTCCATTTGATCAGCAGACCAGCAGCTGCAGACATGGTTACCGCTGCCAAAATTTCCTGTTGACTTATTGCTGTAGTAGATCTACAGGTTCCTTAAAGTCAGAGGGCTCTCATTTAGTCTGGCCTAAAATATATTCTATGCACCTCATTTCACTTTATTAAAAACAGAGAGAACTTTTTTCAATACTCAAAATATTTGTAGGCTTACAAGTGAATTATGCTTATGGGTGTAACCTTGTGCGTACACTCCTGGAGCACAAATAACTAGGCGCAATAATGTCCACCGCAGAAGAGCGTGTCTGCTCAGTGCTGCAAACCGTCGGTTGCTAATGTAAAAATTCAGCTACAAAGAACCGACATGGCACAGCCTGCTAAGAAACGCCATAACTAATAACGATCACGGAGGTGAAAAACTCAGCCTTTCAGACATCTCTGCTCAATGAACATCCAGCAAAGAGCATATGTAGTCAGTGTCAGAAAGTTTCCCAAGGCCAACTTCCAACAAATTACATTAGGGCCTAGCAAGATGATTTTAACCTTCAAATCAATAGCTTTCACCCAAAAGGGATTCATGTTGTGACAAGACAGATAACTGCTGCATAGTTCAAAGGCAAATTATGAAGACCTGTATTTCTACTTAGAAATAAATTCAGAATATTAGTAACACTAATGTTTAGGCAACACTTCTATCAGAGGTATCGTAACAAAAACACTGATGTTGAGCTAATCCCATCGTGCTGAAAAGGTAGGTAGATGGCTTGACTAACATTCTGGTGGTTCAGTAATGTCACATAAAAACACTTGAAGCTTTTCCGTTAAAAAAAAAAAATTCAAAAAATTTCTGAAAATGTTCTATGATAGTTGCCAATGGGATATGAAATCTTATCAAGTTTCATAGAGATTTAGGCCTAACTTCCCACACTGTTCATAAAATGGCATTCAAAATATAGGGGCCCTAAATGGCACCTTACCAGCAAGGAACATCACTGAGCTGAACCTTAAGCTGAGAACGTATTCATTTCCTCATAGTTCTGTGATAGTATTTTATACTGAATGGCTTACATATGCTTTGTGATAATTTATAATGATACCTACTACAGTGGTTGGTTTACATACAGCGCGTCTGAAAGATCAGTCTGATCTTTCATACATTCTGCTACCTCCACATCACTTGAGTGTTACTCAGATCTTGCTGTTCCTGACAGTCCTGCTGAGCCCACTTGCATTTCAAGACCACATTTAGAACTGGCCTCCTGGTTTTGTGACCTCCCTTGGCCTTACATTAGCCTAGTTGATAACGTTTGTTCCTCTTCTGATCCCTAACAGCTCCCTTCATCTATCAAGCCTTGTTCCTTACCCTCGTAGATCCTTTCCTTTGCTGATGGCAAAGCCTTCCACTCCTCATTGCCTACTCTTCCTTAACACACGTGTCTTTGTCTTGCTATCAGATTTCAAACTGACAATATTAGCCTTTTACTTCATGGCACAATTTCTCCCTCCCTCTTTTGCTATTTATTATTTCACTGTGTAACGTGTTTATGGCATGCTTTAAAAATGTTATCCAATACACAATTGAACTGTGATCTGGAAACGTTTGAGTGGCTCCTGTTTATGGTACGGTTTTCTGGAGCTCTACTCCCCTTAGTTTAAGCACTGGACCTGTTAATTTCTTTTCAATCAAAACCTCAGGAATCAAATCATTTGCCATGAGTCCTCTGGTGATATGACTTTTCTCCAGAGAGCTAGAAAAGCATTTTTAATGAAAAAATATTCTTTTTACATATAATTGGCAGTTAACCTATGGTGAGAAATGGGTTTCACCACATGAACTTTTTGAATTTTCCAAAGAGTGTCTTTTAGGATCCATAGTAATTTTATATAATTTTACTGTGCTTGCGTGTACACTCTCCTATGTGTATCAAAGCACAAACAACATTTGATACAGAGCCTGCTAAAAAACAACAAGAAGATTTCTATCCTCTTCACTGGGCTTGGGGTCAGGGTTTTAGCAAGTAACAAGCTCGCTTGTGGGCCTGACATTACCAGAACGGCTGCATTCGACAGAAGATGACAGAGAGGCTGATGTGGAAGGATCCTCTACGTGTTCCTGTATAACCGCGTAAATGGATCTGCTGATTCTCCTTTACTCCGATATTTAGCTTTTTGTTA